GTCTAGGTTACAGACCTAAAATTAGATGCGAAGTTCCTCAATTACTTTTGGATCTGATGAATAAATGCTTAGACGCAGAACCTAGAAACAGACCAACTGCTGAAGAATTAGCTAATACGTTGGATCGTTTTTTTGGAGATTTAAAACACGAAGAAACTGAATTATCTAAGCAAGTTAAAAATATTAAAGATACAAATAAAAATTTTTTAACATTTAATCAAGTAAAATCGGCACAATTCAAATATCAGACACATTCACAAGCTATTTATACAAGTCGATTTTTGAATTTTTCAAACCTTTCTAAACCAGGTAATAACATTTACTGCATTCATATTTTTTAAATAATTGGTAGTAATATGTTATTAATTGTAAAAATTTCCGAATCAGTCAATATAGTAAATGCAGGTAATGAAGTTTATTTTCTCAAATTGGATTTAAATTGTTGTTTAATATATGTATATGTTTTAGAAAGTCAATGCATTGATGATGTTGAAATTCCCGACCGTAAGTAATATTTGATTTATTTATAATTAAACAAATTCATTGATTAGTTTTATATTGATATTTAGGTTATTAAATCAAGAAAAGAAGGTTATTAAATTGGGAGCATTCTATTTTTTATTACCATTCATGTATGTACGTGCCTAAAGAGAGAAAAGATATATTAAACCAATTTCTCTAACAATTGTTTTGCAGACAAACTTGGCCGATTCAAGCTAGAATTGACCTGGCTAATAGTTTAGTGCTGGCTAGATGTAATTTGTTGGTGAAATGATAATAAAGATTACTAAATTTAAATACTGTATAAAAAATCACCCTTTATTGTTGTTGGTGGTGGCCTTATTATTTTAAATGATACACGGATATATTTTAAAGAAAAACTATAAAATTAAAATCTAAATACTGTATTAAGGCTCCGAACTCAACAGTTCCTGTTTCCTAGTATACTGTATACAGTATAATCAAATCAAAAATATATTTTATCTCGAAATTGTGATCAATATTTATAATCAACCCTTAAGATATTATCTGGTCTGGTTAGAAAATAAAAATAAAGTGAAAATTAGCCTCCACATTTTCTAAATAAAATTTAAATAACATTTAGCCATTATCAAGAGATATGTAAAAAAAAAAACCTCTAAGATGATTGAGTTCGAACATGTCTTACTAGCAGGGATATAAAAAGGTCCTGTTTAGTGGCTTATCAAACACCAATAAAATAAGATGAGAATAATTAATTCGTGATTCGTGAGAGATGGAAAGAATTACTAGATATAAAAATGGGGCAATTTAATAGTAAAAACAATTAATACCCATAATCTGGAGCCGGAATTAAAATTTCTCAATTCCTGCCAAGTTAATATCTTTTGTATTTCTAACAAAACTTGTAGAAGCAATTTTTCTCTTTCTAATGGTAGTAAAATCATCAAAATTGGCCTTATGGTTCGTGAGATATTCTTATTTTTGTCTTTGTGGTTATATGAAATTTTCTTCGAAAATCTGGAAAATCTGCAAAGAAATTTCATATAACCACAAAGACAAAAATATGAATATCTCACGAACCATCAGGCCAATTTTGATGATTTTACTACCATTAGAAAGAGAAAACATGCCTCTACAAGTTTTGTTAGAAATATAAAAGATGTTAACTTGACAGGAATTGAGAAATTTCAATTCCGGCTCCAGATTATAGGTATTAATTGTTTTTATTATATTTAATATCCCCTCATGTATATATAGTATTACTATAGTAATTCTTTCTATCTCTCACGAATTACTAATTAACTATTATGTCCGAACCTTGATTAAAAAAAATATTGCCGACAAAAAAGCAGGCTGCATCACCCGAAAATTTTGTGTACTGATTATAGATGCAGACATTTAAAGGTCAAAGGTAGCTACCTCTTTACGTTACCTTCACCTCATATAAATTCGAGTAGTCACGTAGATACGTCACTAACTACGTCATGATACTATATGACTTTATTTAAATTTTTTTTTACTGTACCTGGATTAACACAAAAGTCCTTTAAATAACTTCAAAGGGACTAGAGCGGCTTAAACATAACCCACCCTTATTTTGGATGGGCTTATTCTTTTCGATGACCCTCGGCCGAACAAGCACCAAAGCCTTAGAGTGCTGTTGGAGGCTTGTTTTGTTACACTCTTCGGAATTGTCGTTTTTACTCCGTGACAGTAATCAGGACTGAAATGTGAGACAGGCTATGACTACATTAACATTGGCCTGCACTAATCTAGGAAGGTAATAGGTGAGGTTAGGCAAAAACTATGTAAAAAACTTTTTCTTAAAGTATTTAAAGAAATTGCATAAACGAAAATTTGAATTCTTAATAAGAATTGTTAATAACTTTTATTAAAGATTACCATATTTTTAAAACCGTTAATTCTATTAATTAATTTTTAAATTATTGTACATATTAATTATTACATATTTTAATATAAAAGGTTGGTTTTTAAAGTCTTATTGTAATGGTTGTGTAATTATTCTATTAATTTATACGTATAAATTTGTGTATATTCAGATTTTGCTAAATTATTCATAAATGTTGAAGTATAAATTTAAAAAAATTCTTTGCCAATTTTGCCAATAATATATAATAAAAGATTATCAATTTCTGACAGCAGCTCGAATTTGACTTGCATAAGTAGTGAATACATTTCTTTCAGTTGGAGTAAAACCTCCCCATATTATGTCTGTGGATTTACCGATAACAAATCCATCAGTTATGTTTATTAAAAGACCTTCATCTTTAATTTTCATTCGGAGCAAACTATAAGCAGTAATGTATTTTTTATTATTTCTTTGCAATAAAGCTCGAGCATATGAATTTACATTAAAAGAGAAAATCCTTAGTAAAGCCGGTTGTGTTCGACTTTGATCAATCAAAGCTTGTACTTGCTGAGTTTGCATTTGGGCTTGCATTCGAACCGGCATTTGTGTTGTTATTAGAGTTGGCACTTGAGCTGGTATTTGAACCGGTATTTGAACTGGTATTTGAACCGGCATTTGAACTGGTATTTGAACTGACATCTGAGCCGGTATTTTATGTTACTTATAAGCTCAAGATAAACGAGACTAAGAGAAAACTGGTCATATTTATATTTAAATTTAAAGTTGATCCACATACTACGAATTAATAGTTTATATTAGTAAGTCTTATTCATTTAGAATTATAGATGACAATATTGTTAACCTTATCAATTAAAATGACATCTCATGTTCTTATCTAAATAATGCGCACGAATGATAATATAAGCAAGAACAATATTAAGCTTCGATGCAATTGTGTAAAAATAAAGTCCCTTAAACAAATAACATAGAAACTATTATCACATAACAGAAAGACTACGTGTACTCTGTTTTCTGGACTATAGCTAATGTTAAACAATTGAGCATTTATGGAATTTAAGTTAAAATAAGTTAGCATAGCATTAATGGACGATGCATTTCTCAATTATAAAATTATAAATAAATTTGAGGAGTTGCATGTTTATTTTTTAATTACAAATTCATTATATTATTTACTTGTTTTGCTTATAAATATGAATCATTATTAGTACGTACGTACGTAATAGACAAAGTGTGTGACATACTTGACAATTATACTGGAAATTAAAAATTGAGACTAACCTCAGATAATAGTAATCACGTATCAGCAGACCTGAATTTGTTTGTCAATTATATATACTACACTATATGCATGTGAATAGAGGAATCAGAAAAATTGAAAACTATATTTTAAAGTAAAATAATATATATATATATTGAAATATAAATTTTTAAGAGATAAGATTAGTTAATTTAGTAATCTATCAAAGAACGATTGATCATTATTATTTCAATATAAGCATACTTAAGGGAATAAATAGGTTATATTTAAGACAATTGATCATTGGTCAGTGTACTAAAAATAAACGCGTTAATTTTCCCTTTTAGCATTAGTTAACTGTTACTATTACGTGTAGAATTGGACGAATTCATTTCATCGACAATAAAAGAAAAATACTACAAATGCATATCTTGTTGATTTTGTGTATATATCTGATATATATTTGGACCCTTATAATTTTTTTCGGCTTTGCTCTATTTTTCCTGTACGTACGGTATTTCTCCTTAGAATGCCAGCAACAAAGGTTGGGGTATCTCATTACAAACTTAGTGAAAGCTATCAATTTTTTTTAGTGATTTTCCAAATGTTCCGATTTCACTACTTCCTATTAGAAAAGTGATATCGCAAAAACTTTATTTCTCCTGAAGTATTTTCGAATTCTGTAAACTGTGTATGCTTTATGTAACATGTATTCAAAAAGTAGCAACGTTAAATTTTACATATACTATATACAGTGCTAATATAAAAAATCATAATGGTTAGGATTTTATATTTAGCTTATATGGAATAATTAAGAGTAACTTACAGTATATTACATATAAACTAAGTATATAATCCTAATCATAATATATAATTTTTATATTAGCATATATAAAATTTAACGTTGCTACTTTTTGAATATATGCTTCATTAAGTGTACACAGTTTACAGAATTCGGAAATACTTCAAGAGAAATAAATTTAATAAAATATAGTGAAATCGGAAAATTCGGAAAAATCCTGGTGCCTAATCTCGGGAATCACCGAGATTTTGAGTGCAAAATGGAACCGATCATTTAGGTATCAAGTATGACAGGGAAATTAGGGTTAAGGACATTATAGTGCTAAGTTGTGATAATGTAACGTACAGAACAAACGAGATTTCGAAATAAAGACGAATTTTTGCGCAAAATTAAATATGTAATGTCAAAAGATAGTTGTTTCGTGGTGTTAGAAAAATAGTGCACGGTCAGCTCAGTTAGTATAACAAAGTAGATTATCAGACGATGTCCGTGTCCAGCATGACGATCTTAACGTTAAAATTTATATAGAACTGATAATCTATTAGGCTATGCAAACTTAATTAGTTGGTTCTCATGACCCGGCCGGGTCAAATTCAAAAAAAATGATGACTATATTTACAATCTGGATGAACTTTTTTAAATTTTATAAAAAAATTTTATATGTTTTTTTATATATATAATTTTTTGAAAATGAAATTAAAAGCCGGGTTGCCGGGTCATTTTTAAAATTTTATGTTATGAGAACCAAAAAATTAACTTTATGTGATCTTATATTTTATATATATATTATTTTAATTAAATATTTTTACTAACTTTTTTTACACTTCTAAATTGTTTTCTGTGAATTGGGCTTCTATGAAACGAATAGTTTCCATTGGTGGTATAGATCCTTCTATATCGTAACAAACAATTGCTGTATTGTAAATTGACAATATTACATTACAATATTGAGTCTCTTAACTTTTTAACTACTAAAATCCTATTTTATGCCTAAAAGTCCAATCCTATATTCTTTTAAACACGTTAATAAAGATTTTTATAGTGTTGTGATTTCTAGTTCGCGACAACAGATATGAAGCTCTTGTCCGGCAAGAAATCTTTTTATAACAGTATTTTTAGAGATTGTACCCGTCAAGAAAATCTCTACCCAGGTGTTATTAAATTACTTGGTTATCCGGGTAATTTATTATAGTCATATAATAAATATGTCTACCCGGGTACAATTTCTGAGTATCATAAAATAATATCTGAACCCTAATTAACTCAAAAGGTCTGCTTTTGTAAAATGATCATTGCCCCTGATGTTACACAGTAAGTGAAATTTTTGCATAAAGAAAATCCACACGGAAAACACGGAAATTACTATCAATACGGCCGTAGTTCTCCAATAGCATCACCATCTTTGAGCTCGTCGATCGTTTTCCATACAATATCTTTTTTTTTCTTTTTCTTTAAATATATATCTACTATTTTATATTCTCATGTCACATAATTTACAATTAAATTCAATTCAACTCATGAGCGCAATGTCACACCTGTATTTTGTTACAATCTCGCTATAGTCACCTTAATGTTTTTTCACCTAATTATAATACTATATAATAAATTTATAAAATTATTTTATATCACCTGCAATAACATTAGTGTACTGTAAATAAACTTATTTTAAGATTCGAAAATTTTATTAGAACGTGAAAAATAGTTATTCTTAAGACAATTTTTTTAAACATCGCTTGTTTAATTATAAATGATCCCGCTACGGATAAAACGCAGTTTTTAAACTCCAAAAAACCTCACTTTATATGATGTAATGTGAATTATAACTGTTCTTCTATAATAACTTGCCGTTAGATCAAATTGTTTTAAATCAGCAAAAAAAAAATATTCACAATATGTCATGAATCGATTTTTCGATACTAATACAAATTTATTTCTCGATGACTAATCAAAGGGTATCAGTTTGATTAATTTGATTTTAATTTAACCATACCGACACACTAGTTGAATTATAGTATTGATGTGGCTAAGCAAAATTCAATACCCCTGCATTTGCAAAAAAAACTCCGGGATTACAACACAACTGCACAACATTGTATGCGTTTATTGTTCTGACTTTTTCTTTTTTTTCTTTTTTTTTTTACCTGGATTCTTAAATCTTATAACAAGTGTTTTGTTTAGAGCATTTTCAAGCACCTTTCTTATCGGACTCAACAAGAAATCTGATTGGTCTATCTGATCAATTGGATTCTCATTATGGGTGCCTATTTTTAATACCGATGCTTTGTGTCAATCTAGGTATACAATACATCAACATTAGAGAAATCACCTACTAGTTTAATCACATAATAAACTAGCGACGTTATTGACCCTAGCATCACTCAGAAAAACTGGCACGTAACTGGATTTTTAATCAAAATAATAAAGAAATAATAAAGATTAAATTATTGCGAATAATATGATAAGCATTCGTAAATTTAAACAGTTCATATTCAATTACACATATACAAATTAATTTATTATACAAAGCAATTATAAATTTTGCGACCGCAGCTCACATTTGACTGTCGTTCGATTGTGCAATTGTAAAGTGATTTTCTTTAAGAATATTCAATGCAAATAAATATTTTATAAGGTATGACTTTCTTATATCCATATCCTTAAAATAACATCTATATTCTCAAAAACAACTTCGCACAGTCGCGCAATTGAACAATCAGGTGTGATCTGATTAGTGATTTGAACCGAAAAAATTTCCTTAATCAGGTAATTATTTCATTCAACCGGTTGCCAACCAGTTAAGACTAATATCTCTACTATATACCTTCGAATAGTAATTTGAACCGAAAAAAATTTCCTTAACAAATTATTTCATTCAGCCGGTTGCCAACCGGTTAAGACTAATATTTCTACTATATATAGTGATTTGAACCGAAAAAAATCTCCTTAATCGGTTACCCGAACCAAATTATTTCATTCAACCGGTTTCCAACCGGTTAAGACTAATGTCTCTACTACCTTCGAAAACTCTCGGAGCTTTGCTCAAATTTTTTCTCAACCTCGCTCGTCTTTTATGTTCTTTTCGGATCCTTTACTCTCTCCTTACGTCATTTCGTGCTACCCAATTCTCAACCTGTTGTACCGGGTCAACCAATTAAGAATTTTCTTAATCGGTTAACCGAAATCTATTCGGTTCGGGTTGATTAACCGATTGTAGCCCAACCGATTCAAGTCACTAGTGTGGGTCTGATAATTGGGAGTTTATTCTATTTCTTTTGATTTTTCGTTACGCCAGATCTTGTCCCCATGACTAATGCTGATTGGCTAGGATCAGGAATTAGTGAATGCAAGATAAAGAACTTGATGATACAACTGCTTTTCGATAAGCACAATATTAATAGAATATTGAAATGTCATTAATTTGTGACGAATTAAAATGAAATCAGATTAAAATGAAACGAGTAATAGTGTCAAATAGACAAGCTACTGAAAAATAAAATTTTGGGCTGCATTTTTTTAGGGTCTATGGTAGAATTTATAATAAACAAGTACGAGTGGATTTTAGGGGGACAAATACATAGAGACCCTCATTTCATTTTAGTTCGATTTCATTATGATCCGTAACAAATATGTATTAAAAAC